TATATGAATGAAAACATTACATATTCACGCAGTATATTTACATATTTCAGCCTCTCGAAGATACGCGGAGCACAGACCACAAAACCCTTCGACAAGCCTTATCAGGCAGCATTGCCACATTAACGGTAGCGCAATCGTGACCGATAAATTGTCGCAATTAGGGGCTCGCCGTAAAACATGAAGGTTGATTTCTGATATCGCCAGCCGGTGTAGAGGGCACACCAAAACGGGCCATTGTTTGCTGGGACAAATGGCTTGGGGACGTAGCAAAGTATGAATACAGCTCGCCCACTATCAGCGGCGTCCGCCGCGTTGGAAGGAAAAAGAAACACGAAGCTTCCGCGCGGGATCGTTCGATCGTCGCCACGATTCAGCTGTTCCTTGCTCTCGGGCCGTTTACGATGGAACGCGATTATCAACGCGACGCGGATGATATAACAGGAAATGGAAAAAAATTGGAGCAAAAAGGGAGGTCGGCGAGGCGAGGCGGAACGGAGTATTGTTGCAACGCGCGGTAGAGAGAGGAAAGTGGAGTCGGCGAAAGGGAGGGCAGAGGGAAACAAAACGGCTCACAAAATAGCACGTAAATCCCACGACTTCGGCGCATGCGCGCCACGCTGACAGGTGTTTCGTACGCGCCGCTGAAGAAAAGGATGAACGCGGCGGGTTAAAACAAAAAAACACGCACCCACACACATATACACACTTATACACACATAGGGGGCGAGAGAGTGATGAGAGAGAGGAATGGGGATGACCGTCCGGGGAATCCCTGCGTCGGTTTTCGTTAAATGCTCACCTAACGAATCCGCCGGGCTCGTCCGGCTTTTGACGCGCTTGTTGTTCATACACAACGGCCGAACAATTACCCGAGTCCTCCGTGAAAACTGGGCGAAACCTGGAAAAAGCAGTCGACCATGCGGAGGACACGCGCGCGGAGAGGGATCGAAAAAGCGGAATGATTAATCGCAGTTACGAGGGCCCTTTTCCAGGTGTACCCGCGTGAGATTTAACAATGCCGGGAAATAAAGAGCCTCCCGGTTGCGGGACGCGGAGATATTCTTCCTGGCGTTTATCCGTTTTCGAGGCGGCCGGGTCGTATGACAATAAAACGCGCGGAATTAAGCGCCGGGAATTAAGGGAGAGTCGAACGGGAAGCCTGTTACTTGTGTGACAGACAATAGACGTTTGGAACGTTGATCGTTAGAAACCGCTGGTTAGTGTAACGTTTGATAATGAAGAAACGTATTGACGAATTCTGTAAAATTTCATGTTATCAACATGCTATTGAATAATATTGAATTTACTTGTGTTGACAGTAGTCCCTTCTAATCCTTTGCACTCAAAAGCTTTTTCGTTACATGTGATCATTATTTTGTAATGAAAACTTGATTGTATTGTTGATTCTATTAATAAATAATACAAGAATCAGTGGATCGAAGTATTTTATTTCAATATTTCTTGTCTAATTTACATTATATAAAATGTGATATTGAATATTGAATTTTTTTATTCTCTTGTATCAAATCTTTTATTAAATTTAAAGAACTAATATTTTTGTAAATACAGCAGATCTCATTGGGGGAGAAACTATTAATGTAATTACGCTATTCATGTAATAGGGACCTACTAATATCCCTCAGAAATTCTGACATACTTATTATTCGAATAACCAGACTTCACGTTCATATGAGTAGATTTAATTACATATTTATCCCATTCTTTGTATTACAGCGATTATATACATTACGAATGTGAAAATTACTTCAAAACAGTTATTTAATAAAGTCTGATAATCTAATTTATTTATTTAAATAAGAAAAATAACAAAATTACACAGTTTTTCATTATTTATAACATAATATTCAAAGTATTCGTATAATTACAATGACACTCCGCACTAGTTCAAATAATAGGAACTTCGTTACAGTCCTTTTGATCGAGTACTTATGCAAATTTTGTTCAGATAAATAAAATTCTAATATCAGTTGATCCCTTGCCTTATGATTTATTTCGTAACTATGATCGATACAACTATTTCATCGTTAATAATTTATTAGAAAAAGAGAAATGTCATGCTTAATCTACGACTATATTTACTCCAAGGGTTAACGATTGATAGTAGAAAAGTAATATTTAATTTATACTTAAAAACAGTAAATAACACTTAGATCTCTCACATTCAGTTTAAAATTTTCATTACGAGCCTGACACGATATTGTAGGTTAAGGGGTTAAGGTGAATGTCAGTTGAAAAAAATTTGTTATTGTATATCGCACTGGATGTGAAAACTGGCCAACAAATAAGCTCGCACGACATATATAGACTTGAAGGGGAAGTATTTGAGTCTTCTTCCATGGCAACCACCCTTATTCAGGTTTACCACGTGTTTTTATCAGGGGTAAAAAGAAAAGTCTCGACACGCCCTTACTTTCGGTCCCTCCTACTACACGCGCTCTTGTCAGGATCATCATTGAGTTCGTACCACTACAGAACGGTTCCCACGACTTTAATTCTTCTACCTTTTGTTCATCGTCGTACACGTCATACACAACGACCTGTGGATTTAGAGCATGGAAAACTGTATCGCTATTATCTACTAGAAAATGCATTGCCTTCTTGCCTGAGATCTGTATTAAGGAAATGAAATGCATTAAAGTAATGTTACTAGGATTTGAAATAAACCCATATTCATGTTTAAGAACTTTTTATTGCAGCCCGCCCTTACGAAATTTTTGTTTTTATATCGGTTCTAGATGCGGTATATTAAAAAGCATTAAAATGATATATATGTAATTTGATCACAAAAATCAATGACACTCAAATATTTAATATATTATATGCAAGTCAACAAATAAGATTGTGAAAAATTTAGTAAATTTATCATTAATTGTATATCATATAAATATTATTTTCGTATATGTAGACGATCATTATACTATTCTCATATTTTACAATATTAATATAAAAAGTAAGTATTTCTTTCAAAAATAATAATTTAAGAGAACAAGAATTTTAATAAATATTTTTACTTTACAAATATGATACATAGATTAAATTTAATTCTTTCTGTTGAAGGTCTGAGTTTAAGGTATAAGTAAAAAAATGATTAAACAATCGAAATATATAAAATTATAAATTTCAAAGTAAACGAAAGTAGAAGAAACAAATTGTTCAAGCTCTACAGCAAAGAAGAAGAATGTATTGTAAGGTTGTATACATTTATAGAACTGTGTTTGAGTATTTTTCAAACAGAGTCACATAATTGGTTTCATTGTTAAATCACACTTTCGTAATCTTATTTCGATGCTCGCTTATGTAACACCTATAATGAAGCATGGCAAGGGCTTGACATCGAATATAACAACGACCATCAACACAGATGAGTATGCTACACAGGGTTGTGAATGTAGAGCTCGGCTATTTGTCTTCATTCGGTCCCACGTGGCACCCAAGGGTGGCGACCCCTCATTATCACCTCGCCATATCCATCCTGATTAGACCTAAACATCCGGTAAACTCTCCAACCACACCCTAGCTATCCTTCAACCAGATCTATTCAACAAATTAGTAGCAAAATTTTTCGCACCGAAGACATGAACCTAATTAATATATTTAAAAATAAGAAATTAATTATATAACACTTATCAAATAATGATAGAATGATTATAATAAAAATATAATTTTGAAATTATTGTAGATGAAAATCTATTATATACCTATTTATGTAAATGCAAATTGTTCACTAATATAAACAATAATATAAAGCTTTATAATGTGGTTTAAATATGAAGGGTGAAAGGGTCAACGACCCTTATATTCCGTTGTGAAATTCAATTAAAATCTAACTAAACGAAAATATATGCATATTTACAGATACGCAAATGTATAAATTAGGTATAATAAGAATTGCAATTATAATTAACGTGATATATCGAGTGTTCCTTAAATGTGACAAATTTGTTAAATTTGTAAGAAATAAATTTTAAAAATAAAAACATTCTAAAAATATTTCAGATTTTAAATCATTTTTACTATGTAAATGATTAACAAAGATATACAGTAAAGCGACAATCACATATTTGCATGAAATTTCGTACAGAGCTGAAAGTATGAATAATATTTGACACACATTTTTTACTGGCAATCGTTCATACTGACGATGCACAAACAGCCCTCAGAGTTAAGAGTGCAAAATCAATTTAACCGAATATTTAGAGTGGACAGTCAAGTAAGTCGTATATTTAGAGTGGAAAATCAATTTAACTGAAAATTTTAATCGTAAAAATTTGTACTTTCAACAACACTTTTAATCACTTCCGTAATTTCAGCAAAGAAATCCACTTATGAAAATAGCCTGCTTACAATTCTATATAGTTCAAAAGTGTCTAGGTTCTCTTATAAAACATATACGTACATTTTCTTCAATTCAATTCAATGAAACCTTAATTCACGAAAATGAAATTGATTTTTAACCTCCCTTAAAAAATTATATATGAATACCAAATAACATTTAAAAAAACATTTCGATAACATTCAAAACTAGTTCCTAACAATACACTACATTTTTTCTCTAAATTCCACGCAGCTGCACTTCATACAGCCTCGCATGACACCTGCCGATTCATCGACCGCAGGACAACAAAGCAAATATTATTCTTCCAATTCGAGGAAGGAAAAAAAAGATACCCGATACCTTGCACCGCGAGCTGCATTGTAATTAAGCAACTTCGTAATTACAGAGCGCGCTCAGATAATGAACATAGGAAGGTGTGTTTGTTTAGACGAGTGGCCTGTTCATAGGAAATTGCCTTATTTGCGGACCGTGTGATCGAAAAGTTCCGCGCGGAACTGAACACCGGAACGCGCGTGTTTCCTTTTTTCCTCTATTCCGTTCCATTGTTCTGCAATTATGGTCGACCGCATCCAATTAAAGAAGCATTCGCGGTTGGTACTAATATATAAGGTGCAAACGTCCCGCGTTCTCGAGTGGGCGACGGTGGGTTGCCTCGTTGCGGCATACCTTGCAAGAAAGTTCTAACAATATCGCGGCCCGGCCAGAACTTCGACGCTGCGAAGGGAAAAGGCCGAGTTTACCGCGGAGTTTCGTGCCTCCCGAACTTCCCCGGGATCGGAATACTCCGGAGCCCGTTCGAAGTTCGAGAATTTTCGTAGAATACTCGACGCCAGACGGATTACAATAAATTCTCAGCTCGATGCTGATAGATGTATAGCTGTTCCACACTGTGATTTCGCAAATACATCAAGATTTCGTGGGTATTTCCACTCCGCTCGTAGCTCTGCTAAAATTAATTTAATTGGATACAATAGAAGATAGAGCACTCGACGCAATGCGCATCGAAGTATTCATCGTGCAAGCGGAAAAAATCACGGTGTATGAGATTGTTATCTTGAATAATTATAATTATTTATATAATTTATAGAATAATTATTACGATCGAATCACGTCCGTGCGTCTCGCGATTAATCCGTTGCCCCCTGATTTAATTTCGCAGTTATACTTGTTAGAACTGTTTGTCGTGAATAATGCACTAATAAACAGAAAATTCCATGCTCTGCTTACGTCTAGAAGTACTCTAAACCATACAAATTGTTGACAACAAATATAATATTTCATTTAACCCAGAAGGACTGAATGACATTCATATCTGTAAAACAATATTGGACATCTTTGCCACGATTCTGACACGACATTCTAAGGCAAGGAGTTAATTCGATCGAGAATATTAGAGACATTTACTCTTGAGGGTGTAACTAATTGCTGCGTTCAGTCTGGTGTAAATATTAAATTGAAATATAAATATAGATTTCCCAAGCTTTAACTAAGAATTTGATATCGAAGAATTCAGATTTAGTTGTGGAAGATGAAAAATGTATTGCTAGTTTCGATATCCCCACTTTTTGAACGCAAATTATATTTCCGTCGCGAAATAGATGCAATGATATAAATTGAACTGAAATATAATTCACGATGATCTATTGTTCTTTTTTCCCTTTTTTTAAGTATTTGTGTCACTGAGTTATGTATAATGTTTCATCGAAAAAGTTCTGTATAAACCATGAATGATTACAGTCGGATATGCGTCGTTTATTCAAATTTTTACCAAGCCAATGGGTTTTAGAGCGATACGACATTTATATTCGATACCTACCAATTGATTCATTATTTTTGTCAACGAGATGGCGTCACATTGCGTTTTTTTCCTGTAGACTGACTCATAGGATTTGTATAGCGTAAAGAACATGAAGAAATTCCTTTATAAAGATTAATATTGTGCTACATGTATGGCATGCATCATATAAATGAAAATAATATTATAATCAAAGTTAATTAGTTAATTTATGTACTTTTGTTAACTTTAGCTCCTAATATATTTATGATCCTAATATGTGTGCATATAATTTTTGCATACAATTTTAGCAATGAAACAATAAATCCTTATTTAGAGGTACTTATACTGTCTATAAGAGATAAAGCAGTTATACGATTAAGAATTAATAAATAAAGGAATAGTGGGCACTACCTTATTTTATGCATTACATACTTTGTTATACATGCATTAACATCTAGCAACCTAAATACTAATGAAATTTTCATTTTACTATGATTTTCAGAAAAATTCTAGAAGTTAACTACATAAAATGTAATGAAACATTACGTAAAAAAACGAGATACCTTTGTAAAGAGAATTTCGTTTCTTTCGGTTGTGCAATGATTCTGCACTCTTTAAAATCTAGGATAAATTTCACTAGCACCAAATTGAATCGAGAATCAAAGGAAGAAATGAAATTAATACAACCGTTTCACCCACAAAAATGACCCGCCGTTAATTAGAAGCAAAGGAATGCAAATGTAATTGGAGTACCGAAATGTTCCAATTAAGGCTTTTAAACATCTCGATGGAACTATATCAATCGATAGCATAAAATGCTTCGATTCGATGATTATTACAGGGACACCGGTATGTATATCGGCGAATTATTCTATGTGTAATACGTGTCCTACGTTATTGATCGTGTCGAGCACACTCGACAATTAACATACACTCACCCCTGTTTTATGACGATTCCTTGTTGGCAATGATCGATCACCACTCACAAAGGAACCATTGTTGCCGCGCGACGAACCAATCAATGCTGTTATTTAACTTACATCAGCATTTGAGAGTTTCAATTAGCCGACCGATCTATTCAATGACGTTTGATTTCCACTCATTTGATGTTCAGCACGTGATCGATTCCTGTGGTTGCATGCGACTCTGGAATAACACATTTGTCGCCGAGGCAAGCGTATATAATAACAAATCAGAAAGCGCATCATGTAAAACTTGACTCGACATTTTAGAACATTCCATAATAGTGATTATTTTGTGACAATAACTAGTAAACCGCAGATTTTTATGCGTGCATAGGAAATGTCAAAGTGCACAGTTACAATAAATGCATTCGACCGTAGTGCTTTCTATAATATTTCTTAAAAACAACCATTTTCTGTCATAATTCCATTTTCCCAATCAGATTCTTCATTTAATAATGTACTCCTTAACATTACTTATTCTAATAATATTTTGGTAATAATAAGCACTAAATATTGTTCGAAAGACATTACAGAATTAGAAAAGAATTAAAAAAACCTCAAAGTAACGAAAAGATTAAAAAATCACTCACGCTCCGAAATATTCGAATGATACCCCGTTCCCACGTGATGTCCCCGCAAACGCCTCCCCGTGATCCGTGTATTTTTTTGCTCCCATCAGAGAAATTTTAATAGGAACTTTTTGG